ACACACACACACACACACACACACATATAAAGTTGTGTCTCCAGGACTTCAGAGGACATTACATTGACTTCCATAGATTTCCTGGACACTTAACCTAACCTAAATCAGAGTTTCTACTTGTCTAACTCGGATAGATCTATAATTTACATAATGGACCCATAATGAAAACAATCCCCCCCAAATTTGACTGTGTACACAGATGTAGGTCTCCACAACATTAGTAATACCTGGGCCACACACACAGGTCATAGAAGGTCTCGCTCTTGACTCCTGCACCAGTCACACCACTGCAGTAAATGATTGTGCCTGGAGGTTTAAGAGCTTGTTCACAGGATGAGCTACACTGAACTCTAAGAAGCAAGCATGCACACGTACAGACGCCAGTGAATGCTCCTTCAGTCTGTTTGGACGTCATTCGCTCATGGTTCTTGTGAAAGATTACATCAGGAGGTCATCAGTTGTTTTTGTCACTGACTGTCAGCAGGATTACTCTAAACCGACTGACCTCATTTCCATGAAATTTGGCGGAATGGTGGGACATGACCCAAAGACGAATCCATTCCATTTTTTAGATGCAGATAAATGGGCAGATTAAAAAAGTTTTCACTTTCTTTTCCATGGCGAGACAGGGCGGAGAGGTAGGTGCTCTCTGAGCGCCCGTCTAGTTTACAATGGCTCTGTGTGTGTGGGCGCTGACACAGACTTCAAAACAACACAGTGGAAAATCAAAACATTTGCTCTCTGCAATATTGAGTTGGATTAAAGGATCCAGAGAGAGGAGTAATGTGGCTCTGCAAGTAAAACCTCACAACTGTTTTTATCACAAAAGACACTTGAGAGAGTAAAATTGTTTCTTTTCTAAGAGAAACAGGCAGAGCTTTAATTAAAATGCAGTTAAAGTCACAAACGCTATCTGCATTTTGTTATAATCCAAAGATAATGGTCTGTGATTATATAGAATTATTCTATGATGACCACTCAAAGTGTTTTCAATATATAGTTGTTTCATTCACACATGGTATATCTATGTACTATATAAAGCACTTTATCTGTCAGACATCACTCATACACTGCCACCAAAGCCATTATAGAGGCAATTTCCCCAAGTGCACTTTGGCAGGGAGAGGCAGACTGGTATCGAACTAGCGGCTGTTTTGGTTAGTGGACAACCCACGTAACCACATTACCAGAGGATAAATTGTTGTGAATAGTTGGGGTACACAGTAGTTGGGTCAAAATCACAAATGTTAACGTCATGGTGGCAGTTTGCAAGAAAAACTGTGGAAATTGTGCTCTGTGGAAAATAACAGTGAATGCTGATGCAGCTGTAAACAGTGTCGTTACAACAGAGGAAGTTATTATTGCATGACACATACACAAGGCATGTTTGTGCAGTGACACAATCATTGTGCAAATGTATGTTGTTATGGTTTGACACAACACATGACGTGCTTATATGTGTGATTTGGGTTTTTGCTGTACAATCAGACTGAGCAAGTGTGTCCAGGTCTCCAAATAGGTCAGAGTAATGAGTCATGGTTCTCAATTTAATTCAGTATCATATAGTGCCAAATCACAAAGATATTATCTCAAAGCACTTTTCATATTAAGGTTGAGACCTTATGAAATTATAGAGAAACAGTTCCCACAATGAGCAAAAGGAGCAGTATCAGTGAAGAGAAGTCACTCCCTTTTAACAGGAATCTTATCAGCATTCAAGTGTCTGCCACAGGTGCGTGCGTGTGTGTGTGTGTGTGCACACACTCTTCACAGATACTGATCTGTTTGCTCATCGTGGGAACTGTGAGTTTCTCTATAATTTCATGTGGTTTCCACCTTAATATCCACACACGCATGTGGTTTGGATTGCGCAGTGTGGCCCACCCTGCCTCACCAGCATGTAAAACTCCATATGGCTTGATGATGTCTAAACTGCCTAATCTCTATCCCCCTCTCTCTCTCTCCCTCCCTCCCCTCCCCTCTCTCTCGCTCTCTCTCCCTCCCTGAGGTTTTATATGGGCGGTAGTGAGCAATGACGCGTCAGATGTCTGCGTTTACTCAGAGACAACACACTGTCACTGTGTTGAGCTCAGGCAGGAAGCTGTGATCACTGGATAGATTATCAGGCAGTGGCAGGTATTGTTATCACCGGCTTTGAGGACATTTTAGTGAAGAGCAGAGAAGACATAGCTGTGGACATCGATGGAGACTATGGGTAAGAGGCAGCTGTTCTTCCTTTTACTGTAGATGAGGGCGTGTTTGGAGGTACAGTATGTGTCACATACATGACTGATGTCATTGGAAGTCTACAAAATCTAATCCGAGGTGGGGGGTGTTGACGTGACAGCAGGGTATTGTATATGTGATGATGCTGTGGAACTCATGCATATGAATAAACATAGAGCCACAATTATTAACTTTCATATCATACATAGAAACCGGGGGGGGGGGGGGGTGATATGTGGAAAGGAGCAGTAGTTACTGTCCTGATATCTCTCACACACAGAACAGGATCATACACACGGTCAAACAGTACGTGGTCACTCCTTTTATAGCCATATAGTTCTGGTCCAGAGGAGCAGAGGAGAAGGTAGTCACTGTTTCACAGTTTTCATGAGGTCAGTGTCAGATTTGTGCACATGAACATTATTTTATAATTATAATAACACTATTGTTATTTTTAAAGGTTTGAAGAACTTGTTGGATTAATCGCTCTTTTAGAAAAAAGGAAAATTAGGGCGGGCTGGAATTTAGAAAATCAAAGAGCACATTTTAAGTAGTTTTTGTACGGGCACTCATGGAGGCATCAACCACAGGAACAGATGGCATCTGTGTGTTTGTGTGTGTGTGAGAGAGAGCGTGCACGTGATGGTGCATATTATTATCATGGTGTGAAAAGTGAAACCTGCCTCCCTCTGGTGCTGCTCTGATGAAAACACTGTGAGAGTTGATTCATGCCATTTAAAGCCGCTGCATATCTTCTGATCAAATGACAGTGTGTATGTAATGTGTTAGTAGAGATGAAGCCACAGGGGTAGATCCAGCAATAGATTGTCACTTCCTTTAACCATGTTTTATGACAAATACATCCTTTAGGTTATCAGACCACTTCCTGTTGTATACCGATTATAACAATAACTTCATTCATAAAGCACATTTCAAAACAGCCGTTGGAAAGTGCTTCACACAGGACAGATAAACTCCTCAAAGGCCGTGTGTAGATTCATTGTTTCTAAGTTTATGAAGTGATGATATGTAGCTGTTGTGTTAAGAGCTTGTTCGCACGTGAGCAAAAAAACGTTATTAGAGGTTAAACTGTGAGACTAGAGTGGAAGGAGACTTAACGGGTCAATGTCAGGCCTGTGATGTGACGTCTGTTCTAACTGTTGATATTCTGATCGTCGTCATTAGAGGCTGCACTAATGACTTAGTTCAACTGCGAGAAGACCGATGTTCTTAAAGGAGGTCAAAGGACAAACATGTCTTCTTACTGAGACACGCAGCAGAAATAACTAAGACATCACGTGAAGTGAAAAAAACCCAAACGGTCATAGTTTTTGCTCAAGATGACGGATGAGACGGTCTAGCAGGAAGTAACTCCCTGATCTGATCTGAGCAGGTTGACGAGCACTTAGTGAACCATCTGAGGATTTGTAAAAGAACACCTGCTGCTATTCAGACGTACTTATCATTCAATTTAAAGATTTGTGTTTGACATTTAAAAAAAAATCTATGTGTGTTTTCCTCGTCACCAGTGTGTCCGATGGGTGGAGGAGCCACCAGGCTGTACAGCGCCCTGACTCACGCCCTCAGCAGCAGCTCTCCTCCCCCACTCCCTCCCTCCCACCCGGACCCCCAACAGCCTGCGAACACAAACCTGGATCCAGACTTCTGCCCGGTGACTCCTCCGCTTCTCTCCTGTTCACAGTGAAGTTCACACTGAGATGAAATTAATATTAGCTAACATGCACGTCCTGTCTGCTTGCAGGAGCAGAGGGGGTCCCCTGTATGTCCCCCTGATCCAGTGGAGCTGCTCCGACAGTGTGAGGAGGCCCTCAGGGACCGACCACCTCGCCTCCACAGGAAGTTTATTAACCTTAATAATGGAGACAGCGCCCCCAGCAGCCCCATTAGGGTGATGCAGTGGAATATACTGGCACAAGGTATATGGATTTCATATCGCATCACACTGGACTCTAATTTCTGATATATTAACTTGGATTTAAAAAGGATCTTTCTGAATGTAACAGAGTTCTGGTGATTAAACTGTACCAGGTCTCCTTCTCATTCCTAATTTAACATATTGTTAAGTTGGAGATATCAGGATGTTTCCTCCCCTTCATTTGCTTCCATCCATTTTAAGCAAGACAAAGGTGCAAGAATTAGTTTTTACTATGGATAATATAAAAGTGGTTGCTCATAGGTGACTGTTTTTCACTCATTTTCCTTTTACCTTTAATGCGAGGTGTGAACAGATGAGCTTGGGGCTGACCCTTGCGGTCTGATCTCTTAGGACTGATGTTAAAACCAGGTCTGAACAGGGCCTAGGAAGCATCGTTGTTTTAAGCTACAAACTGAAATCAGATCTCTCTCTTGTTCTCCTGTTCTTCAGCTCTGGGTGAAGGACTAGACAGTTTTGTCCAGTGTCCCCTGGAGGCCCTCAGCTGGTCCCGCAGGAAATACCTCATCTTAGAGGAGATCCTCACCTACCGACCTCATATCCTGTGTCTGCAGGAAGTCGATCACTACTACGACACCTTCCAGCCGGTTCTGGCCGGCCTAGGTTACAGCAGCAGCTTCTGCCCCAAACCATGGTCGCCCTGTTTGGATGTGGAGGGCAACAACGGCCCGGATGGCTGCGCACTGTTCTTTGATCAGTCGCGATTCGAGCTGCTGGACAGCATGAACATACGCCTCTCTGCCTTGAGGATCCCAACCAATCAGGTGGGTTAAAGTCCACTGTCTCTCTGTAGAACGCTTCTCAGAGGCACCTCTAACACACTGCTGTTCTGCCACAGGTTGCTGTAGTGACGATGCTTCGTTGTCGGAGCACGGCGAGATGCGCGTGCGTGGCAGTGACCCACCTGAAAGCCCGCGCTGGCTGGGAGTGGCTGCGCAGTGCTCAGGGCTCCGACCTCCTGCGACACCTCCAGAATCTGGTCCAGAAACACGCCGGCGGTCCCACGGGTGACCTCAGCTCTGACATTCCTCTGCTCATATGTGGCGACTTCAACGCAGTCCCAACTGAGGAGGTGTACCGGCGCTTTATCACATCACCTCTCAGTTTGGACTCGGCCTATAAGAAACTCAGCAAAGACGGTTTGTCAGAGCCAGAGTACACGACGTGGAAGATCCGGCCGACGGGGGAATGTTGTAGCACTCTGGACTACATCTGGTACAGTCGGGACACACTGAGAGTGGACGCTGTGTTGGACATGCCCACTGAGGAACAGATTGGACCAAATAGGCTTCCATCCTTTAGTTATCCGTCTGACCATCTCTCTCTGGTTTGTGACTTCAGCTTTAAGGAGGAAGAGTGAGAGCGAAGTGATGATTCTGCTCATGAGAAGGGACGACGAGTCAAGACTGGCTCCTGGTGGTTTTGCTCCACAAGCAGGCGCACGTGAGACGCCACGTGTAAGTGAAACGATGAGGATGAAGACAGGAGGCCGAGAAATCAGAGTGGGAAGCGGAAAAAGTCGGAGATTGTAATGACAGTGAAGTTGCACATTGTAACGCTGCAGTGATGCTGCCATCTCCCGAAACTGTGACACTGTGAAACTGTTCTCCACAGCAGCTCACTCACAGTGAAAGTGATGAGTAGGAGTTTTTTTCTTTTGTTCAAATCAAACTGTAGTAAACGTGTTACACTCTGCTCATGTGCTACAGAGTTGATGAGAATAAAGTATTTCTGCTGTGGTTCTGATTACTGTTCTTTTTCTATTATTTCTCTCAGACTTCCCTCTCATGGTTTGATAATTATTTAGGTGGTTAAGGAATTAAAAAGCTGATTCACCGAAGTGACTGAAGAATACTTTCTCACCTCCAGGGGTCATAGAAAATGTATATTGAAGTTACATATATAATTGTATTTTTTTTATTTTTTTTTTATATAATTTTATATAAAAATTCTATGCATAATGTAAAGTTAGAAAATTACAAAGGCAATGTGTCTTTCTGGATAAAGACAAATCCAATGTCATTGATTCAACTACTGATGCATTTGAACAGAACAGAATGAGTCCCGATAAAACTTTTTACTGCTCTTTTTTTATTAGAGGGAACTGGCCCTTTAAAGATCGCTCACTGATTTCATTCTCCTTAAGTGTCTATTAAGTGTGCGCAGATGGTAATCAGGTCTGTTAGACTGGCAATAAGACCACTCCCTGTTCAGGTACTGAAGTCCCTCCACAGTATGAGATCACCACGTGATGTTCCTGTTTTCATTTACTCTCGGTGGAGAAGTCACACTGTGTGACATCTGGAACCTACAGTACACTTCATTTAACCAAGAGGAAACAGTCCTGTTTGCTTCTCGCCCTGTTTCTAACGATAACATTGCAACAGTTGATTACACTGATATCTGTTGACACATATTTGTGTTACTAAAGTCTATTTTACAATGAAACTTGGAAGGACGACTAGGGAAGCCACAACGTTTTGGTCTGGATCAGTGGTTTTCTTTTTTTTACCTCTAACATTGTGAGATGGGATGCTTTAAAAAATGTTCCTTGATTTCTCAGAATAATCAGATGGATCAGGTGTATTTAGGGGACTGATATTCATGAGTGTGAGAACAGTGTTGAGGAGTGTGAAATCTAGTGCAGATCCCCAAAGAATCTGGATCTAGTGACTGTTGGGCCTTGGCGAGGTATCTGCCGTTCTAGTTTCAGAGATGAATGTTATCAGTTGACTTTTGGATCAGTAAGAAATGATTTATCTTCTCTCTGAGCTCAAACTGGAAGTTAAAGCGTGCAAAGTAACCACAGACGTCATCACTGATAACAAATGCGGTTAGTCAGATTTGATTTTCTTATATGTAGTTCACTTTTAGCTTTTTGACCCGAATCAGTTGCAGGTTGGGAAAGAAATAACAAGTTTTAAGTAATAAACTTCCCAAGTAGGTAAGATGACGTAAAATACCAAGAAGTAAATGTTTTGTACGCACACACACAGCAGCGTGTCTGTTGCAAACCTTTTTTTTTTTTATATTTCAGTAAAATCTACTTTCATACACTTTGAAACAAGAGTACAACAAAATAGAATATACTTCAAATGTTGAATATACAAACAGTTCAGTCCGAACACAAACATCTTTCTATTGTCCCTTTTTTCAGATTAAAATAAAATAAAAAAAGTAATGAAATATTAAGCCAAAATGGCAGAGACTCTATTATCTGGCAAACTGTTTTACAGGCATAGTAAAGTGACGTGGGATCTACAGTGGTTTCATTGTCAATGCAGCCATTTTGCATAAACTTATTTTTAATGCCCCTTTTTTAAAAAGTAAAATAATTTCATGACTACATTTTTTTACATACATTGATATTACTTTTTGGTTTCTTTATTCTTTTTGCTCTTATTCACGTTCTTCGTTGGGATGAGGAGAGCGAACGAAAAACAAGTTTTAAGAATTGAGATGTAGCCAAGATTTTTGGGGTCAGATACAGGATTAACTCATGACTACAGATTTTCCTGAAGGTTGGAAGCGCACTACAAACAATCTGTTCATGGATCTACAACGTGTTATTGGTCGACGGCTCGATAAGAGTCGGGGAACCGATGATTAAACAAATATTAGATCCGCTCGTTTCAATAATACTGTGCTTGGTACAAGGTATCAAAACACAAAAACTAATTTCTGTTTACTGTTCAGACAAAATATGAAAAAAGAAAATTTGAATTTAAATCTAAGGCTGTTCTGTTAACTTTAGCTCCGTAAACTGTATAGTAGATATATATATATTTATATAAATATGTACATACACAACCATGGTCTGTATCTTAGGGCTTCTCTCAGCACCTCTATCACTAGTGTAGCACCACAAACACTTGATGCACAGTGATGAACGTTTTCATAACAAGTTGCTGGTTTTAACATCCGTGGAGGAAAAAATAGGAAACAAATGTCTACAAAAGTTTCATTACAGCCTCCACATTTAGTTTTTTTCTTCTTTGATAGTTCATATTTTGCTCGGTTGTAATTATTTGCTGTTTTGTAGTGTTTGCTTTTTCTTCTTTAATATTTTTAAACGGTTTTTTTTTCTCCAAATTTGAGTCAGTGATGGTGATCTATTTAGAAGGCAGACATTGTAGTGATCACGGTTGGTCCCTTAACCTTTCCCAACAACTTCCTTTTAAAGTCTTTGTGTATTCCTATGTTGAAGGATCCAGTTAAAGTTTCGAACACAACGCTCCAAGGGCGTCGGTGACAGCGTGATTTGTGAAAGAAACAGACGTGGTTCCCTTTCAGTCCGAGGCAGCAACAGGGAAGAATTGAAGACAGGTTGAGGACTAAAAACAGGCCTTCAGACATCTTTAAAGTCTCAGAGACTGCTGCTGGTTATCACAAGAGTAAAAATGACTTCAGACATGTACAAACTAACCCTCTCTGGCAGAGATGGGTGCTGGGAAATGTTTCAACACTCAGGCTCTTCAGTCTTCATCGTCACATCGGGGGTTTGCAGGTTGATAACCACCTCGGCGTCCACCTCAGAATTCTGGACATTCTGTTTGACTGCTGCCGTCAACGGTACCTGCAAAGACTGCACCTGGACCCCAGCAGCCTTCAGCTTCTCCAACGCAACTCCTCCAGTCGACGGCGCTCCTATCACCAGCTCTGAGCCGTTAATGACGCCGCTGATAATGTGAGGCTGTGCCGTCATCGTCTGATTGGCTGCTGTCACCGTTACCGTCCCCACCCTGCCTGCGATGCTCCCCGGCTGCGACACCACTAGAGTCTGTTGTGTCTGCGTTGGCACGGTGAGTCTCATCACTTGCGTTCCCGGAGCAACGCCGACAGGAGCCAGGGCCCGAACGGTCAGGGGACTGCCGAGGAGGCTGATGCCTGCCGAAGATGCACCGACGCCGGGCTTGTTAGTGCCGGTGGAGGTCTGGAGCTGACACTGAGCTAGCTGGTGTGCTGGGATTGTGATGATCTTGGCGAGCTGGACGGTGATCTTGTCTCCGTTCTCTGCTGTGGCTGGGACCATGGTGGGTATTGTCTGGATCACAACCTACACAAAAATATAAATACATCTTAAATATAGAGAAATATCAAGAAATAAATTCAATGTAGAATTTTCACCAGGGGATCGGCTGAAAAGGTTCATTCTACCTGGCTGTCCCTCTTTTGTTATGCTGAACGACAGTTCTTCCCTTTGATTAACAACACTTCAGTATCTTGTACGTTCTACTGTTTTCTAATCTTCTGTACATCCCCAAATAAAACTTAATCAAATATAAGAATTCAAGAACTTCATACTCTCCAAAATACAAAAGAATGATGCAAAACCAGTCGTGATGATAGAATCTACAATTAATTTAATATCCTATCATGCTTTTAATATTACACAGCAGTATATAACATTAAGTCTCGAGGATATGATTAATTAAATGAATGTGACCTGGACCTGCATTAAAAGGACGGATGGATTAATTAGCAACAACCCAAACGTTCTCTGATAAAACTAATATGAGTTTCCTCACTGCTGTGGTGAGAAGTGCAGATAATCTGCTGTAATATGTTTAAATGCATGAAAGCAAATCAGTTTCCACATGTACGAACCTTCTGTTGTGAGTTGGTGTTCCCACTGTTGGTGAGGAGGGCTGTGTGGCCGACAGCCCCTGTGGTTCCTGTGGTTCCTGCCGGCTGTTGTACAGCAACGGTAGAGATCTTCTGACCCAGGGATGTTGTCATGACTACAGGCACCTGCATGGCCACCCGCACTGTCCTGCAGACAAGAGGTCAGAGAGCAGAGAGTCAAAAGCTAGTATTTGGTGTTAGGAAGAAAGAGTAACATTTGCATCTGCTCTCCTGAAGGTCGTCTTCTCTGCAGGAGTCTAACCTGGGCCCTGTGGCGTTAGGGATGATCGTTGCGTGAGACTGCTGGGTCTGACTCCCATCTGTTGCTCCAGTAAACGACAATATACGATGACTCCCTGCTGCACCACCTCCTGCCACGTTCTTGCTCCCCGTGGCGACAGGAGCTTGAACCACGTTGGCTCTGTTCCCGGTCCGCAGTATGTTGGGCTTCTTGGAGGACGATAGCTCGGTCACCTGGAGCAGCATGTCCGAGGGTGGAGGCACGCGCTCATAGGATGCAGCTGTGTCTGAGCCCATCAGATCATCAGGGGCTGACATGTCTGTCATGTCGTCGTCAATGATGACAATGTTTTTGGGCATCTCTTTGAACTGGTAGACCAGCCGCTGGCCCTCTACTTTGGCGAGGATGCCGCGCTGGTAGTAATATCTGAAGAAAAAAAGGGTTATCAGTGACGATGCTACATCCCACAAACACAAATAAAGAAAACTGGTGTGAGATCTCCCTCAGGGACACACACTCCTCACCTGAGAGCCCGTCCCATGGTCTCATAGTTCATGTCTGGCTTGTTCTTGTGTTTGCCCCACAGCTTGGACACTGCCTTTGAGTCGACCAGTTTGAAGATGCCCTTCTCCCTCTGTGTCCACTTGATATACCTGGGACATGTGTTCTTGTCCTGGAGGAGGTCCAGAAGAAACTCCCACAGGTAGGTGGTGCTGCCTGCTGGAAGTCATAGTAAATTTAATGCACTGCTAAATGCCAATTCATCTTTATCAGAGAACAACACAATTAATACAACAGATAGATTTAAAACCAGGTGTCATCTGCTGTGTCATTGTTTTGAAGACATGACACAGAAGATGAAATTCATTGAGATTCACTTAAATACTTAAGGGATAGGTGAAATGTATTTTATTAGCACTCTTAGCCTGGAAAGAGTTATTTAAGTGGTGTTTCAGACAAAGACTGACGATTTAAGTGACGTGAGCGATATTGAAGCAGAGTAACGCAGAGTTTTATTGATGAAAACTACATTCATGTGCAGACAATATTCCTGCGGATCAACACTCAGTCGGTATCCGGAGTGTTTGAGGAGGAGGAAGAAGGGGGTTCTCTGCGTTTACCGTCTTTTTTAGGGACTTTTTCCCAATTTAGGGAAACTATAATGAATTACACAGAAAGCCAATTCTTTAAGCTATCAAATGTTTTTATTTCATGTCTATCTGCTTCAGAATGTATTGTTAACATTAGCAACTCTGTAAGATCGTCAGAAAACCCTCAGGTTATATTTTCAAACAATGATTGGGTTTTGGACTGCCTTTATATTTGGCACCTTAGGTCTTAATTGATTAATGTCTAAGAGTATGTGCAAAAAACCTGTGAGATACCTTTGCCTTCTCTTGGTTTCTTCTTGATGCCGAGGTCTGGGGAGCCGTTGGAAACAGCTGACTGATGTGTCTTTGGCTTCCGTCCGGCTACAAAGGAAACAGTTTTACATTTAACATCATCACTGTCCTATGATGCTCAGTTGAGACCCAACAATAAAAGGTCAACCACTAGATGGTGCTCTTGCATTACATCTTCCAGAGTAATTGAATAATTGACTTCAGGTCCTGGTTTAATGTCTGTGGCCTGGATTGTGAAGTAAACTTTATCAGCCAACACATTAGTTTTCAATTTTAAACAAATGTTTCCCTTTTTCCAAAGCGTGACCCCCATTCTGCCTAAAAGCCTTTTCTACAATTTTACAATACTGAAGACTCACGTCCTAGATGAACTCTGACAAACTACGACTACAAGATGTTTTTCCTCACCTCTCCTCTTTCTGACAGGCTCGTGATCAGGTTCTGGATCCTCCAGCAGTGTCCCAATCTCCTCCTCGTCCTCCTCCTCCTCCTCACAGCAATCCTCTGTGGAGATCTCCACCTCCGTGTCTGCAATCATGTCAGGACGCATGGCAGCGTGGAGCAAGTCCGGTGTCATGATGCATGGTGAGAAAAAGGCTTCTGGGTGGAGGAAAGAAGAATGAGTTTTGCTTTGAAGCTGCATCATAAAGTTTCCTCATAGGGAAGCAAAATGTTTAAATATTTATTTTACAACAGGTACATAATATATTAGGCTGTTACTGTAAAACTCAAGTTCGAAAGAATTTGACATGACATGTAATTTGTTTGCACTTGACGTTGCTCTCATTGTCTGTGGTGCCTCCTCTGCTGCCTCTCGTGGAAATCAAACACGTGAAACCACAGATTTCATTACAAAGTTACATTTCATTTTAACCTCACCTTTGCTGTGAGTGTATAAAATATTTTCACATGACGCTTTTGAGATGCTTTGGTGTCATGATCGTCTGCTCGGGACGGCTTTGCTGGCATTCTACATTTTCATAGCAAAACAAAGTAACATAACGGACTGACTTAACTGATAGATCATGAGGCCAAATAGGCTGACAGTGAGCACCCTCTGCTGGATAATGAGGCAAACAACACTGTGTATTTTGAAATGGAACAGGTCATTAAAATAAGAAAGTTTCCCCCTAACGTATGAATGAAGGTTTGAATTTTGAATAAAAAGTGAATTAATATAACAGCCTTAATATAATACAAACAAGCAACTACTTAAGTAACTTATACTCATATTATTTGAGAACTAATAATAAAAAATAAAATAATTTTAAAAATCCTACTATTTTTTGAGCTTTAATTATTATCGAAGTAGGATACCATAAATGGTTTAAACCATGGTAAAGATGACAGGGCAGCAAAAATCTCATTGACCAACCAAAATTTCACTATTTATTCACAATAGGAGTTTATTGCCTTATTTATGAGACATTACAGACATCAGCTGAAAGTATAGTTTGTTCTAAATTGTGTAAACCCTTGTGTTCTCCTGTTTATCAGCTTGTGTGCGTTACCTGGACTACGACCCTCTCTGAGGCTGGAAGGTGAATCCATGCGTAGCAGAGCCTCTGCAGCCTCGATGGTCTTGTCAGAGCAGTGGACATTAGTGCCATGGACAGAAGCTTCCACTAAAACACACAAAAACACACACAGAATCAATTAGCAACCTTTTTTTTATTAATCCTGCACAGAGACACTTCATACGTGCTGCCACATGTTTAATCATGTTAAAGTACACTATGTTAACCTGTTGGTTTTAACAATGTTTAATTTCCTATTAGTCAACTCTTTAAAGCATCATTAATACAATGTTGCACATGCTGCAAAACAAAATGCTACTACATGGCGCCCCCTAGTGAAAAACAATTGCGGGAGGGACACTGCTAAAACATTCACCTGATGTAAAAGACAATGGAATGTATTTATTTTATTCTCTTCCTCTTTACATTTGTTGAACTATCTTGACAGTTTTTACCCTGCACCTGGTCCTTTTGTCTGACGCTGAAAGACAACAGAACACCTTGAAAATACAGATCAACGAGAGGTTAGGTAACATCAGCGGCACCTACAGCTGCCCACCAGTATCTGCATGTGTGCAGTTAAACACCCTGAAGGACCCTGGGAAGGAGCCCAGGGCCCCTGCTGTTGTTGTCAATCACCGGTGGGAAACACGAGAATCTTCACCACCCTGCCCTGTCCATGTTTGGCTATCTCACCGAGGCAACAGGCACTGCATCGGGGAGAGAGACGGGCTATCTTTAGATTGTCTCACTTAATTCAGTTCCTCTCACAAACAAACAGGACATACTGGCAGCGATCGCAGCAGAGACCCTATAGCCTGCTGGGCTGCCCTTGAAAACACTGCTCTGTAATAAGACCACCAGAAGGTGTGAGGTCACAGAGCTGCAGCTGCAGCCTGACCTACATAAGCACATATAGAAGTTGTAGCCTATATATATATATACATATATGTGAAGTTATTCACATATATGTATGTATATATAAAGTCAGTCTATGGTGTCAGGAATTGGATTTACATTGAATTATTGAATAATAAAAAAAGAAAAAGCATTGAGAATGTTGCAACAGATAAGCGTTGAGTGTGTAAATGCGTCGGGATACTGAAGTACGTTAACAACATGTACATTATGCAGCTATAGTACAATGTAAAGGCGCCAAGAATAGCAGCAGGTCCGACAGAAAGTAGTGCTGCCTGTGATGACTTCCGTGTTTACACTCCTCATCCTTTCCCTCCAGTTCTCTTCGAAGAAGATCACAAATCCTCTTGTCACTCAACAACCACCTCGCCTCCTATTGGCTCGCTCTCCGATTGACAGCCGCCCCCCGGTGAAATCTCATTGGACCCCAGCCTGCGTTTTAAACCACCCCGTACGCTATTGGACCAACGGGAGAGTCGGTAGAAGACACCCCGCCCCTCACATAAACAATGCTTCCGCCATCGAAATGAGACCAAATACTTTGAATATAACAATTAAAACCGGAGTGGGGAACCAGAGGGCGTGTGTGTGACACATCACACACCCAACACACGGCGAACACGCACTGAATGAGACCGAAACGTGTTGGTGTGCGTCAATATGGTCGAAGGCTGAAGCCGCACTAGGAACAAGTAGAGGGAAGAAAGCGAGAGCCAGGCCGTCCCACGCTTCAGTCTCACACACACGATAACGGAAACCATCAGACATCTGTATCACAACCTTCAACACGACACGTGTTACCACGAGCTCCACAACCAACGATATCCCAGATACAGCACGTTTTATCGCGAGAATTAGCCGCAGCGTGTTGTTAATCGGTCCACTATTACTGCACGATATTCCCACAAACTGCACAAACTACAGGCGGCAACTGTTACACACTCGTCACAAAGGTCGACCATCACGCTGACAGAGGTGCAGCGTGATGGTGTGTAACAGGTAAGTGTCAGTGAAAATAAACCCACATGTCCTTCCGACTCAGACAGCGTGGCAAAGACGTAGGGAAGACAACATCTCGACACTTCCTGGTTGTGCAGAGCCGACGCGCAGACCGTTATTCTACATCTCCCTGCGCGGAAAGAGCCTGCTGCACCGTGCAGAACACGCTCCGTGCACACACCCGACTCTCCGTGCACACTGAGCAAGTTTCCCTTCTTAAACCGGGTTCGCACATCGTGTAGCAACGCCATGCAGGTTGCTACCAAGGTGATCACTTCCTGATTGCCCTCCATTACTTCAGCGCACTCCTCCGCGCACTGAGACGCAGCGGCCCGGCTTACAAACGCGAGCCGCGCGTTCGCGGCAGCTCCCGCGTCCCGGTGAGGACAACACGAAGTTACGTTACCGGCTCTGATGAGTAGATCGAGCTGGTTTGCATGCCCCTCATGCTGCGAAGTCGCCATGTTTTCCCCTTGCTGCAGATTCACATTGACTTCTCACTGAATTGTATGGGACGCCAGCTAACTCGGATCACTCCGCCCTCAATAGGAAATCTCGTCGATTTCCACGAGACGCGTAACAGCGGACGAGATGTATCCCTCCGCCGCCGACACAGGAAATCCTTCCTTCGCCCTCCCTCACTTGCGTAATGACTACGTCACATAAAGCTACACAGCGATAACTTGCTTTAAATCCACACACTGGACGAATAAATCCACTTCTTACACAACAAAGCTGCCGTTTGTACAACGAGTCCACTGTTTTAAACAACACAATGCAGCTAAACCACAACTTTTCTTAAAGATCACAAATGTTTTGGAACCACTGTGACTGCATGTGTTTGTTGCTGTCTGTAAACTATGGAGCAGCATCATTCTCTTCAAAGCTGGTTTGATCTGGGTTATTTTCTATTACTCTCCTGCAAGTTAACACATTTATCAGTTACAAGACATCATGTCCTTAATTCAGATTTCTTTTTTTCCAAGAGTAGTATGAAGAGTGGAAAGTAAAATTTAAATGCAAATTAAAATATGATTCATCAACAGTAATTAAATGCATGGGTGTGTACAGTAGAAAATATTTATGAATTCAGTTCAGAGAGAATCAGATCATAAAAGATGAGTCAAACTCATTTTGGTCGATGACTTCACAGGATTATCTCAAACTCTTGTGCATATGCTGCAAGTAATGGAGTGGAAATGCTTTCTTTGCATCTACAACATTTTCAACCTTTTTTTTTTATCTCTGCACATGTTCTCCAGTTAAATGTCCCTGTCTCTTGTCTCATTGGGACTAAACATACACAATGTTATGGCATTTACCAAAAGACTGAAATTATATATTTACAGAGGGTCATCTTAAACACACTAGGTCCTTTTCAAGCGATGGTCACAATCCATGGTGGTTTGTACCAGGATCATTACATTTTCCGTTTTACTCCAACAATTTAAATCTCTTCATCCTTGAGCACATTTTCCTTTAAAACCGGGCTTAAAAATAAACTATATGGGCAAATCTTGTTTTCCTAGATTTCTCACATCCAAGCAGACTGAATGTGCAAAATGCACTGTCCAGTGATGTAAAATCATTTCCTGTAATTATGATCAATTCTTGATCCTGCTTAGAGATGCTTTAGATTTTGTGCAAATGCAGCTTAGAGATGTTATTTAATATGATGTGAATGAGTACAGCACCAGTACTCTTCAGTTTGAAATGATATTACCTTTGTCTTTCAATAGGTTTCATAATTACTGCACTGGACTGAACAATAGTCTCTGTTAATAGGGGATTAATAGATGATTATTGAGCAAAGCTGGACACCTCAGCTGTGCATGAAGTAGTGACTGTTCTAAAATATCCACAAGATGGCAGTGCATGGAAACACAGCTCTGTAGATGACCAGATTGATTCTGCTGTAAATGTCAGTGACACAGACAAATATTTCAGCTCAACCACAATAAATACAAAAACACTTTCTGAGTTTGAATTATAGAAACAATGTGTGGACTGGGATTCATGTGAATTTACAAAATGTCAACATGTCTTCAAAACTCTATAATACAACAGAGACTTTCATGTGTATGCCCAAAAGGTTATGAAATCAGGAGTTAAGAGACAGAAAAGGAGGAGGAAAAAAAAGCCACAAGATAAAGGTGCAGTCATACCACAAACACTTATTTCAAAAATTATGTTGGACAGAGTAACACAAAGAATGGGTTAATTTCCACTGGGTGGATAAGTACCAGGACTTAGTCAGGGTAATATTACTAATATAATATTTATTTTATTTGATATTATTTTATTTATCAATGATACTGAATTAGGTCCGGACTTTTGCAGCAGTTTGCTTTTTACAAATGAACAAAGTAGTAGATTTCTCGCTCAGACATTTTTAAATGAAACACAGAAATCTTTGGTGCGTTCAGATGAGGGACGGCGCAGCAGACAGATGCAGGATGTAACTCAGTTGTGGTGCTGAGATCATGTGTTTTTGTTTACAGCATAACTACATGGGCGGGCCCTTATTACCAAAAGCTCTCTTGACATCTTGGTCTGTGTTTTCTATGTGTGTGCCACCATTTTTTCATACTGAGATATTTGTATACTTATTACCTATGTTATTTTCATTTTTGGGCGTGGCGTCTGAAGGAAACTTCGTCAACATACCTACTCGCTCCCGGTGAATCGTGCGAAGGATCTCCTGCTGTGTTCTCATCGGCTCATTTGGACATTCTCCAGAGTTTCTATCAGGCAGGAGAAACTCTGGAGAGAGTCCTCTCCCTCCTACATTTGCACTCTCACTTACAGCCCCTCGAGAGAATGTAGGAAGATTATCTGGGGTTCAGTGCATGTCCGATAGCAGCTGACTCTGGCAATAGCACCAGCTGAAAATATATACATGAATCTGTGTAAATGTGAAGGAAGCCAGGGCTCCTAATTACAAGATCAAAATGTTGGTTTAAAAAAAATTGATATATTAATCATGTTAAAGGGTAAATCAGCTTGGCTAAGGATCTAAGTTTACTCTGGGCTTTCTGGGTAGCGAGTGTAGGAGTAACACAGACTATATGATAGGCTTCCTGCACTGTGACATATAGTAGAAATGGGAAGAATGTGAAGTTGACATTAAACCTAGTTTCTGATGAACACAGAAGTATTTATTCCTCACCTGCCTCCCCTTCTGTCTCCACCTCCTGCTCATCGCCCACTTCCTGCATCAGGTACACCTCGTCATCATACACCACCAACTGGGCTGAGTAACTTTGCTCCTCCACCAGGCTGGCACCTGGCACCTCCTCCACTATGACTGCTGGGTAGTTCTCAGCCTCTCCTCTGTCCTGTACCTCTTCATAGGCCTCCTCAGCTTCCCACTCTGCTTCCACCTCTCCTTCCAGCTCTGCATCCACCTCACACTCTCCCTCCTGCTGGGAATAGTCAAGGACAACAAGTTTACCATCTGTGTCGATTAGGAACAAATTAGGTCAGAAATGAGAAAAGGTGGAGTGAGGCTACATCTACATTCTTGTTTGAAAATGCATCGACTCTGCTATGAATATGCCTGGCGTCCACACTACTTCTGAGTTTGACAGCCTCTTAATAGAGAAATTTGGGAACACTGCTGGCCCATTTTTAGTTTGAAAATGTGCATGTCGATGCCAATGATGATGTAGACGCATGTTGGGACCTATCTATTGGTGAGCAATAGTTGGGCCTACATGTGTAGCCAAAGCATGCAATCACATGTCTCCTTTGTCCTGAAGAGAACCTACCCAATCGCTCTTCCGACCTCCAAGCAGACCTGCCTGAAGCAGACTGCTACAACTTTCCAAAAGGCAGCGAAGACAGAGTCTGCCTCATGACTTCAGCGTGAGAGGCCATGAAAAACAAAATCTTGCCAGCAGAACAATAACAGGAACCACAAACCAGCCAGCAAGACCACTTCACTGGACTGCACGTCAAAAGGGACCCCCCTCTTTCATGGACTGGTAACACAACTGGGCTAATTACACTAGGCTATGCACAGGACTGTTATTTTAATAAGTGTGATGTTTGATTTGTGTTGTTGTGATATTTTGGTTATAAATTATTGAAAGCTAAACTAACTACTTTCTATAACCTGGCACCAACACCTCACACACATCTCCCCAAACTTAACAGATGACCTCAGCCGCATGGTCTAACCATTCAGTGTGGTCCTTTGTCATCATAGTAACCAACTGCCATTTTGAAGACACAACCTCACGTGCATACTCACATACACATCTGTATATAGTAAGTACACATATAGTTAGATTGTGTGTTTATACTTTTATTATTGCCATAATAAATGTTCTTAACACACATGTTGTCTCCATTAATGTTGCATAAGTATGAATTTTGCCAACCTCTATACTGCTGAAAACTCCATCCTTCAACTTCGCTAACTACTCATGTAGTAATTTACTGATTTACATTCAGTAAATTGAATACTTTTCCC